AGCTGCAATTCCATAAGCAAGGTGGTTTGTGTGGCTTACTCTGTACTATAACTAATCACCTGTTTCACTTATTTTTAAAAGAAATTTAATGTCTATAATATTTTTCAACAGCACTATTGACAAGTAATTCACATACCATAAAATTCACTCATTTAACGTCTACCGTTCAGTTGTTTTTAATCTATTTTCAATATGTGATATCATTCAAAGTTAAATGCTGCAACCAATGTAGAAATCATGAAAACTCAAAGAATATACTAAGAGGTTCACCAGGCCTAAGTAGAACACTAAGTCACTAGCCAGTTGTTCATAATTGTTTCTTCACAGGACAAATATCTATATTTTACACACACATTTAATATAACTTAACATAACATATATTCACTAAATATAATTTAATATAAATATATTACATATATTTTCAATTCCTGTATCTGTTTAAATTATTTATAGTTTAGTCCTAGCTCTACATTTTCCAATCTTGAAATATAAAGTGAGGCTAATATTCACCTGAAGCAGAAAAACCAGAGCACACAGCCTGATGTATGCATAGATCCTGAATTTAAATCCATCTGTCAGCTTGAACTAAAAAACAGGTATTTACTACTTTATGTCCGGCAACCGTGGGGCCTTCTGCTCTAACTTCATGAAGCACTTAGATAGCATAACAGCAAGGTGAGGGTGACTATAGCAGTAGCAGGTGCATAAAAGAAACCCAAAGAGTAACCATATCTCTTTCACAGCTTTGAGGAGGTTCTAACATTTTCTTCAAGCATTTAATTGGTCTAGGATCTAAAGTTGCAACTGCAGTTTAAAATAGCTCAACTCTGGGTCCTGATGTAGTTACAAGTCTGTTACGAGTCTTCATAAAATTTTTTAATAGTATAAGCCAATGATTAACACTGAGAATAAAAGTATTTCCCCTTCCTTTACATAAGACCTCTTTTGCTTATCTGCTTTTTAGTCTACATAATAAATTTTGGCTAGACTTAAAATTCTCCTGAACTTACCAGAAGAACCACGGGAAGAAAGCTCTCCCTAAAGAGAAGCTAGTGCATATAGTAAAAACAGCAGAACACATACACTGACTATGTTTTAAATCTCAATCATCAAGGTTTAAGAGGAATAGAAGACCAATTGTCATTTATGGCAGGTTTGGGTTTCTACTTATTTGCAGCCATAAAATCAACATTAATTGGCAGCAGTGAAAACAGAAAAAGGGCAGACTTCACACCAAGTTCTAATTTTTCAAATAAAAATCGTAGTGGAAAACCATCTTTATGCATCTCTATTAAAAACTCCTCAAGATAGAACTGCCATATGACCCAGCAATCCCACTCCTGGGCATACACACGGAGGTAACCAGATCTGAAAGACACAAGTGTACCCCAATGTTCATCGTAGCACTATTTATAATAGCCAGGACATGGAAGCAACCTAGATGCCCATCAGCAGACAATTGGATAGGAAGCTGTGGTACATATACACTATGGAATATTACTCAGCCATTAAAAAGAATTCATTTGAATCAGTTCTAATGAGATGGGTGAAACTGGAGCCCATCATACAGAGTGAAGTAAGCCAGAAAGATAAAGACCAATACAGTATACTAACGCATATATATAGAATTTAAAAAGATGGTAACAATAACCCTATATGCAAAACAGAAAAAGAGACACAGATGTACAGAACAGACTTTTAGACTTTGTGGGAGAAGGCGAGGGTGGGATGTTCAGAAAGAACAGCATTGAAACAAGTATTCTATCAAGGGTGAAACAGATCACAAGCCCAAGTTGGATGCATGAGACAAGTGCTTGGGGCTGGTGCACTGGGAAGACCCAGAGGGATGGGATGGAGAGGGAGGCGGGAGGGGGGATTGGGATGGGGAACACATGTAAATCCATGGCTGATTCATGTCAATGTGTGGCAAAAACCACTACAATATTGTAAAGTAATTAGCCTCCAACTAATAAAAATAAATGGGAAAAAAAAAACTCCTCAATAATTTTCTTCACCCATAGTCTAATTTTACAGGGCTCGTTAACAAGGGACGACCACAGGGACAACAAAAAGGCCAGTCCTCAATCTGTCAACTCAGACTTATCAGGTGATTTCCCTGTTGATGGAAAAAAAAAAGAGTAAAGAAACGAATAGTACTGTGGTTCACATTAAAGCTCTAAGATCAAAGTCTTACAGAATTGCCACATGTTAAATGAGAGCCATTTTTCATATCCTCCTAATAGCCTTGATTTGAAATAGTATATATATTTTTCTTAAAGTATTAATATTTGTTTATCATCTCATTTTACAGTCAGCATAAATTTTTACTTTACTAAATAAAAAGAAAAAAATTGTGAGTAAACATATTCAAAAGTAAAGCTAGGAAGTGAGTACCACATTACTTCATGTTTTCCTCTGCTTCTACCCTGCTGTGAATCACAGCTGTCAATGACACACTATGAAATCTGCACAAACACATCTTGTTCAAAGCAAAATACCAACCCGAAGAACCTAAGTTTGTACAATAAAAATCAAAGAACTACTAATACAGAAACCGTAACTCTTCTTAACATATGAACGATTTCTATTGCTGATTTGTTCTCTAGCTATAAGAGAACAGCAGGTCCACTTCTAGGCAGTGTAATTCACTGGCTTTATTAGGAAAATAACACATGGGTATTACAATAAAAAAGATATTAAAACATCTTCCTCAAACCTCGGACTCCTAGGCTTTTCTTGGATATGATCACGATCATGTTCTGTGTGAATTCTCACAGCAGTTTTCTAAGCAATACAAGTGTGTTTAAGTGTATATATGTGTAATGTGAGCACAAATACAAATTTGATGAACAAGTGAAAAGCTGTGTGAAAAACAGAAATTCCATACTGTATGAGATGAACACCAAGGTTCATCAGTTTAAGTCACAAAGAGGAAAATCTAAGAAAGGAATCTTTGGCTAATTACCCTTTTCTTCTGATAGAAAAAAAAAAAAATTGTCATGTCCTTCAATATGGTAACAAACATACCTGTTAATTAATTGTTAAAATAGCATGCATTTCACAACTTTCATAAGCAAATTTTTATGTTAGTCGACTGCTCCATAACCATATGCTCCATATCTATGAATGTCAACACCCCCAATTCCTGTGACTCTCGACCCTGATTACATCTGCTGTTTGGGTAATGTCCCTACTCACTGTTTTTGGTTACTTTCTGTAATCATTTAATTCGGTGTAACATAAGACACAAGATGCCACTTGAAAGTCCTTCTGCCTTGCCAACAAGTGTACCTCTGTTCTTGGCTTTTCATGCCTGGTTTCTACACTTCACTCCTCTTTTCTGCTTCTGGCGAAAAGCTACACCACACTACTTATTCTGATTCTTCCAAATACTACTGTGCACACATCCACCATGTATTGACAGAATTTTGAATTCCCAAAGTCCCTGACTGTGAGATTCTTATTACAATTGCTGTTTGTCGTTACAGGTAGTAGCCATTAGGTTAGGTTTCTCCTGACCCTGGGCATTCCAGCTTTCCAACCTGTCTGCCTGTGTCATGTACTCCATGACAAATGTCTTATGACTGGAAACGGGGATCACACTCCAAGTCCTTTTCTCCGCTCAGAGAAAGCGATCCTTTTCAAAGTCACTGGCTGGCCATTTCCCCATGAAGTTTTACATCAAGCCTAACATGAACATCATTTATCTTAAAATAAGCACTATTTCCTGTTACTTGAAACTGTGACACCAACTTATGGTTAAGAAAGCAGGAGGGAGCCAACTCCATTAGTTTCCACATTGCATAAATTATGAGGAGAATTGCTGGATGTAAAAATAATCAGTACCAGGACTCTTTCCATTAGTGCAACTCTTCCAAAATTTCCTGCCCCCACCCACCTAAAATTCACCTCGGATTCAAGTCTACCCTACATAAAAGTTACTCAGCTTATAACGTTAATTCCAAAGAAGTGAAACAAACCTTCAATTATCCTAACATCAGAGGATCTTTTGGAGGACCCCCACTGCTCAACTGTGTCAGAGACAAAAAAGAAATGGCTGAGGCGTCTCAGGGGAGGAGGAAACCACCCTTCCCCGCTCACCGCTGGCCGCCTTCTCCGCAGCGAAGGGAGCGGCGTCCAGGCCCGCGGAGGGCACCAGGCGCCCCGAGCTCACATTCCAGCGGCGGGAGTCGCGGCACCGCGCGGGGAGGCCTGGAGACGTGGCCGCGGGAGGAGCGCGCGGGGCTCGCCTCACCTGTGCTCGGAACCCGCCCGCGCGGAGAGGTGAAGGCGCCCACCCGCGGGGTCTGCGGGCCGACAGTGGGCCGGAGGGGTGGGGGCCCGGCGACAGCGTTGGAGACCCCCGATTTACACGGCTCGGACAGACGCCGGCGCCCGGGGCTCAGAACGCCCCACGTGGGCGGGGTCGGGGAGTGAGGTGACCCCAGACCCGGGAGGGGCGGGGACGAGCCCGGACTTCTGACCCAACAGGCGACCGGGATCAGGGCGGGGGTCGCGGCGAGCAGGTACCCCGACTCGGGCGGGGAGAGGACAGGTAGGAACCCCTGACCCGGAGGGTGGGCGGGGTCAGGGCCGGGGTCGCGGCGGGCAGGGATCACGACTCGGGCGGGGTCCAGTCGGGTGGGGCGAGGACAGGCAGGAACCCCTGACGGGGCGGGTGGGAACCCCGACCCGGGCGGGGTAGTGACGGGCGGGGACCCCTGACCCAGCAGGCAGGCGGGGTCAGGGCGGGTGGGGACCCGACCCGGGCCAGGTAGGGGCGGTTCGGCACTCCCGAGCGGGCAGGCGGGGTCAGGGCCAGGACCGTGACGGGCGGGCACCCCTGGTCTGACCTGGGCCAGAGTCGAGGTAAGCGAGGACCTCCCAGACCGAGTGGGAAGGCGGGGTCAGAGCGGGCCCGGGGCCCCTGACCCTGACCGGCACAGGCGGGAGGGCGGGTCAGGGCCGGGGGCAGGCAGGAGTCGGCGGCGCCCACTCACCCAGGCCGGCAGGTCGCAGGCGCGCACCCCGAGGCGCACGGCGCGCTCCTCGTCCTCCAGTAGCGCCAGCGCGCGGCACAGGCGGGTGGCCTTAAGGCCGCGGCTCCTGCGGCACCACACGAGCAGCCCGAGAGCCAGCAGCACCCAGCTGAAGCTCAGGCCCAGGTAGCCCAGCGCGTACACCGGCAGCAACAGCGCGAAGCTGCGCGCCAGCTGTGCCAGCAGCCCTGCCACGTCCACGCTCAGCGCCGCCCCTGGGGGCTCTGCCCCGGAGGCGCCCGCCTCGGGGCCCGGAGCCCTGGAGCCGCTCATGGCCCCACCGCGTAGCGTTCCCCTCGGCTACCGGCCGAGGCGCCTCAGCCCGCGCTGCAGCGCCCCTCTGAGGGGCCGGCACAGCCGCCCAGCCCGCCCGCGCTTCCGCTCGCGGCGCCGTGTGACGTCAGCACGCAGGGCGCGGTGGTGGCGGAGGCGGCGAGGAGCCGAGGTGTTCCACTGCGGCAGCTGGGCGTGGTCCCCGGGCCTGGGTGCGCCCCAACGCGTGGTGGGCCCGGCCCGCGTGGGACGTCATCCCACAGGGCCCGCCAGCGCCGCGGTGGCGGGGGTGGGCGGGGCTGGCTGGGGTGTGGCTTCATCGCATGGGCGGGCGTCTCTGACACGGGGTGGCTGGGCCCGGCGTGGATGTCACCTCACAGGCTTGAGAGAGTGCCCCTGAGGCGGAGTGGGCGGTGCTTTCTGACGTCATCGCGGGCTGGCGGGGCGCCTCTGATGCGGAGTGGCCGGGCCGGGCGTGGGTGTCGCCTCACAGGCTTGAGAGAGTGTGACTGACGCGGAGTGGGCGGAGCTTTGTGACGCCATCACGGACGGGCGTGGCGACCCTGAAGCGAGGCGGGCGGGTTTTCAGTGAAAGTTGGTGCGCTGAACGGTCTGCCAGCGGGCTTCCGTGTTCGCCGAGGGGGCTCCGCTCGCCCAGTCACCTGGGCCGCGCTTCGTGCTTGGATACTGCGGAAGGAGAAGCACATACTCCTGAGTTTGCGGGTACTGACAGCCCAGAGCCGATAGACGATTTCCTAACGGAATTCTCTCCGCGGCCCTGGAGGCGCGGGAGCTCATAAGGCCGCTGTGTGCGCGAGGGCGGGACTTATCCTCGCCCGCGAGGCCGCGGGGACTTGGCACCCGCCCTCAGCAGAATGTCCGACGAGCGCCCGTGGTTCCTGAATCCCTTCTCTAGAAGGGCAAACCGCTGTTGATTGCTGTTTCCCCTTAAACTCAACCAGGGTAATTATATTTGTACTCTAGCCTCCTTAAAGCCAAACAGTTGCAGAGGACAGCCTAAGTAAATTTTTAAAGCATATCCAGTGGGTTCGAAGGATATTTTAATTCAATTACTGGCAGCCTTGAATGATCACCTTTAGGAGAGACAGGACCTATTGGAGAGAAATAGATCATGCTTACATGTTTTGAAGTTCTTGGTGGGTGTGTTCATGTTACATGGCCCTACCCTACCATATTGTAGTGATTCTGGAGTATTGAAAACTATGCAGTAATGGGGAGAGGGAGGGGGGCAGAAGCCCATTTTCAGGACAAAACAGTGATGCTCCATAGGCCACTTTGCTGTGCACGCAGTTAAGTAAAAACCTGTAAAATGAAGACCACCAGCTGAAGACACCTGCAGTTGCAGCCCTATAAAATGAAACCAGTGAAAGATTTGCTGCTCACATGAACTTTTTAGGGGGATGGGATGGAAAGCACTTGCGCGATATGGTAACTTTGACAAAGTCTCATCAATGATTCAACTAGGCTTTAAATTCCAGTTGAGCTATTTCAAATCCTAAAAGATGATGCAGTGAAACTGCTGCACTCAATTTGCCAGCAAATTTGGAAAAGTCAGCAGTGGCCACAGGACTGGAAAAGATCAGTTTTCATTCTATTCCCAGAGAAAGGCAATGCCAAAGAATGCTCACGCTACGGCACAATTGCACTCATCTCACTCACTAGCAAAGTAATGCTCAAACTTCTCCAAGCCAGCGTTCAATAGTATGTCATCTGTGAGCTTCCAGATGTTCAAGCTGGATTTAGAAAAGGAATCAGAGATCAAATTGCCAACATCCATTGGATCATCGAAAAAGTGAGAGAGTTCCAGGAAAACATGTACTTCTGCTTTATTGACTATGCCAAAGCCTTTGACTGTGTGGACCACAATAAACTGTGGAAAATTCTTAAAGACATGGGAATACCAGACCACCTCACCTGCCTCCTGAGAAATCTGTATGCAGGTCAAGAAGCCACAGTTAGAACCAGACATGGAACAACAGACTGGTTCCAAATCAGGAAAGGAGTATGTCAGGGCTGTATATTGTCACCCTGCTTATTTAACTTATATGCAGAGTACATCATGAGAAACGCTGGTCTGGATGAAACACAAGCTGGAACCAAGGTTGCCAGGAGAAATATCAATAGCCTCAGATATGCAGAAGACACCACCCTTATGGCAGAAAGTGAAGAACTAAAGAGTCTCTTGATGAAAGTGAAAGTGAAAAGTGAAAAAGTTGGCTTAAAACTCAACATTCAGAAAACTAAGATATGGCATCTGGTCCTGTCACTTCATGGCTAATAGATGGGGAAACAATGGAAACAGTGACAGACTTTATTTTGGGGGGCTCCAAAATCACTGCAGGTGGTGACTGCAGCCATGAAATTAAAAGATGCTTGCTCCTTGGAAGAAAAGCTCTGACCAACCTAGGTAGCATATTAAAAAGCAGAGACATTAATTTTCCAACAAAGGTCCATCTAGTCAAAGCTATGGTTTTTCCAGTAATCATGCTTGGATGTGAGAGTTGGACTGTAAAGAAAGCTGAGTGCTGAAGTATTGATGTTTTTGAACTTTGTGTGTTGAGAGTCCCTTGGACTGCAAGAAGATCCAACCAGTCCACATCCTAAAGGAATATTCATTGGAAGGACTGATGCTGAAGCTGAAACTCCAATACTTTGGCCACCTGATGTGAAGAACTGACACATTTGAAAAGACCCTGATACTGGGAAAGATTGAAGGTGGGAGCAAAAGGGGCTGACAGAGGATGAGATGGTTGGATGGCATCACCGACTCAATGGACATGAGTTTGAGTAAACTCCGGGAGTTGGTGATGGACAGGGAAGCCTGGTGCGCTGCAGTCCGTGGGGTCACAAAGAGTTGGACATGACTGAGTGAACTGAACTGAACTGAGACAGTAACAGAACTTTAAGACGGTAAGGGCAGGAACCATATTTATTATGTTGATCATCATATCTTCAGGCTAGTACAGTACCTGGCACAGCAGATCCTGAGTGAATAAAGGATACCCCCTACCCTCATCTGTGAGTCTGTATGTAATAGTTATACATAAGTGTGTGTGTGTGTGTGTGTGGCTATGGAGATATATGTAAATATATAATCTCATAACATTGCTCTAGGGTCTTGAACACACAACATTAAGCAAGGGCACTAAACCACAAGCAAGGGAAGGAGTGGTTTTTTTCTTTCTCTTCCCCAAATTACATCATTTGAGTTGTAGATGCATGAAAGGGTGAGTCTCATCTCTTTTTCTAGGCAGCAGCTTAAAGCTGGAAGGCCACCTGTCGCTCAAGGCCAAGTTACAACCTCAAAACAAGTAATTGCCTTGTTAACCTAGGAAGAAGCATGAGCCTTTCTGTCTTGTGGTATTTCCTCTAAAAAGCTGTAGAATCATATCCTATAGATAAAAATTTGGATGAACATGATCCACATGAGAAATCCTGCATGTCTGTGATAAAGCCTTTGACCTGGAGGCCTTGTTGTTCTTGTTCAGTCTCTCAGTTGTGTCCGACTCTTTGTGACCCCATTGACTGCAGCATGCCAGGCTTCCCTGTCCTTCACCATCTCCTGGAGCTTGCTCAAACTCATGTCTGTTGAGTCGATGATGCCATCCAACCGTTTCATCCTCTGTCATCCCCTTCTCCTCCTGCTTTCAGTCTTTCCCAGCATCAGTCTTTTCTGATGAGTCGACTCTTCGAAACAGGCGACCAAAGTATTGGACTTCAGCATCAGTCCTTCCAATGAGTATTCAGGACTGATTTCCTTTAGGGTTGTCTGGTTTAATCTCCTTGCTCTCCAAGGGACTCTCAAGAGTCTTCAACACCACAGTACAAAAGCATCGATTCCTTGGTGCTCAGCCTTCTTTATGGTTCAACTCTCACATCCATACATAACTACTGGAAAAACCATAGCTTTGACTATGCAGACCTTTGTTACAAAGTAATGTCTCTGCTTTTTAGTATGCTGGATAGGTTTGTCATACACTTTTTTCAAGGAGCAAGCATCTTTTAATTTCATGGCTTGCAGTCACCATCTGCAGTGATTCTGGAGCCCAAGAAAATAAAATCTGTCACTGTTTCCATTGTTTCCCCATCTATTTGCCATGAAGTTTTGGGACCCGATGCCATGATCTTAGCTTTTTGAATGTTGAGTTTTAAGCCAGCTTTTTCACTCTCCTCTTTCACTTTCATCAAGAGGCTTTTTAGTTCCTCTTCACTTTCTGCCATAAGGGTGGTATCATTTGCATATCTGAGGTTATTGGTATTTCTCCTGGCATTCTTGATTCCAGCTTGTAATTCAGCCAGCCCAGCATTTTGCATGATGTACTCTGCATATAAGTTAAATAGGCAGGGTGACAATATACAACCTTGACAACTCCTTCCCCAATTTAGAACCAGTCCATTGTCCCTTGTCCAGTTCTAACTGCTGCTTCTTGACCTGTATACAGGTTTCTCAGGAGGCAGGCAAGGTGGCCTGGTATTCCCATCTCTTTAAGAATTTTCCACAGTTTGTTGTGATCCACAGTAAGGTGTACCTTCTTTGGCACAGCCCTTCTTTGAGATTAGAATGAAAACTGACCTTTTCCAGTCCTGTGGCCACTTCTGAATTTTCCAAATTTGCTGGCATATTGAGTGCAGCACTTTCACAGCATCATCTTTTAGGATTTGAGATAGCTCAATGGGAATTCCATCACCTCCACTAGCTTTGTTCATGGTAGTGCTTCCTAAGGCCCACTTGACTCCATACTCCAGGTTGTCTCGGTCTAGGGTGAGTGATCACACCATTGTGGTTATCTTTGTCATGAAGATCTTTTTTGTAGAGTTCTTCTGTGTATTCTTGCCACCTCTTCTTAATATCATCTGCTTTTTTTAGGTCCATACTATTTCTGTCATTTATTGTGCCCGTTTTTGCATGAAATGTTTCCTTCATATCTCTAAAGACATGGGAATACCAGACCACCGTACCTGCCTCCTGAGAAATCTGT